AGTCGTCAAGCCATTATCCGTTGCCATTTTCGACTCTACTAAACGGAATATTCTTGGAGGTTATGTTACGCCAAATTATCTGTTGTTTGAATAACAATATGTTAACAATATATAGCCGCAAAAGGGAGGGAAAATCAATTGATTTTAAAATTGATTTTAATACTGCTTAAAATAATTTCGATTATTCATTTGTACACCTAATCTATTTAACAGTGTTCAATATTTCTGCTTTTACCAACAACTACCCCAAACCTACTCAGACAGTATTTCAGTGTAGACAGCATACGCATTAACAATTTTATCATATATCTCATTACGAGTTGGGGATTGTATTTAACAGTATTCAATATTCCCCAATCAACAACTACGCCAAACCTACTCAGACAGTATTTCCGTGTAGACAGTATACGCATTAACAATTTTATCACATACCTCACCTTGTTACTTAAAATAACCATTAAATGAATTTTCAGGGTGTAAATTATAAAATATTGTTAATTACAGCTTCTCGCGTGATAGTGTCCCACAAAAAAGTAGGTCTAAACGTGCTCAGACAGTATTTCCGTGTAGACAGTATTTGGATTAACATTTTTATCACATACCCCACCGTGTGACTTGAAATATCCATTAAATGAATTTTCTCGCGTGATAATGTCCAACAAAAAAAACTAGGTCTAAACGTGCTCAGACAGTATTTCCGTGTAGCCAGTATATGGATTAACACTTTCGTCACATTCCACACCATGTAACTTAAAATACCCATCAAATGAATTTTCTCGCGTGAACGCGTCCAACAAAAACCTAGGTCTGAACCTACTCAGACAGTACTGCTACTTTTCAAACCTATCAAAGAAATACATTGATAAACACGCGAACAATACATCGAAAAACTACCATAATAATAATAATTCCCGAAAAAGTAGCAAAATTCTTTCCGTAGCCGGGACTTCAGCCCGATAACAACCAACCAGGCGAACAATACCCAGCCAATAAATCATGTTACGGATGTAAATAGCGCTTTCGACTTCCTGCTCGCCGGAAACCGTGATATCATCGATAGCACGATGCGTAGATAAAAATCCGTAGCTGCTTACGCCGCGTGCGATTCGTTCGCGTGTCCCGTCCATCGATCGTTTATCCGGTGCCCCAAAACTGTGCATAAAAAAAAAAAGTGAACAAAACGATGGAACCAAAAAAAAAAAAAAGGACCATGTATCCAGGCGATAGAGGAGATATTCAGTCGTTTATCGTTCGGTTCGTCGGCAGCGGCGATCGAACGCGTTCCCTCTGGCTGAATACGTTGGAAATATAATGGATACCGGTTTATAGCGTTTTTATTTCGCGAGTGGACGATCGAGGGAGGCCGGGAGGACGGGCTCGGAGGTGGCAGATGCAGGATTATTGTTTCATAACGCTCGCCGCGGATTTCTCCGGTCTTTGTTTCCCGCGCTGTTGTGTTTCCGCGAAAATTGGGGTCGCTCTTGAGCCTATCGCGCGACTTGCGATATCCGGCGGTACCGCGATGCCGGGAAGGGGTCGAAATCGCGAGAGCTTTGCGACAATTAAATTGCACGTGATTTCTCTGGCGCGTTATCGCGGACGCGAATGCATTAAAATGTCTTCGGTTGTTAATTAATGTAGAAAGTTATCGGGCGGTCGGCCGTGTCGATTGCGGGACTATCGAAACTCGTAATGGGTGCGAACCGTGTGACAAGGGGTGGTTTCCGTTGTCCCTGGCCTTGGTTTGCTGAAGATATTTCAGAGAAGTTGGCAAATTCTGAGCGTTTCGCGTATTAGGACCGGAAAGTAACTTGTTTATTATTTATCAGCTCGCTGTGGACCAATTCATTGTTTTCGATCGGGTACTGAAAATTTGCACAATAATAATAATAAAATTTGCATAATAATAATAATCAGAAAAAATGGAGAAAATCACAGCATAACGTTATGTAACATATTTAGCTAAATTACGCATAAAATTGCTGCAACTGAATTTTTTAATAGCAAAGTTGATTCGTGATTATATTTGTTTGAATTTAATGTAAAAGGAACGTCCCCCTAATTGTTTCAATGGTAATTTTCATTTTTAGAAGTGGAAACTCATCCAATAACGTAGGAAAATGAAAATCATCTGGAAAGTCTCGTTCCTGCAAATTTATAACATTGTAATTTTTTTGTTCTGGAATATTTTACGAATCCTTTCACCGTGATATTCAAGCGAACAGCGTAAACATGAAAGTGTCTAACGCGATGCAACAGGATATGAGATTACGTCGGAAAGAGGAGATATACATCAGAATTTAACGAACAGACGCATTCGATTTTACGCGACACTCGTAATCCACAGTCCACTGTGATATTTATAATTAACGCTCGCGTCGTTTGGGACGCATACAACATTCATAGAAAGCCAGTGTATCGTTAATATGAAATTCTAGAATTTATTACGCTGACGTAACGTTATATATAATGCTTCACTGCAACGATTCTCGAACACATGTTTCTGTAAATAAATTTACGTGTTTCGCTAAAGAAAACTGCCGAAAGAAATTCAAATTGGCTCCCTGAGTCAATAAAATACTAATTAACCCTTTCGGACCTGGCGTCCAGAATCGACGACACAAAATTGAACAAAATATTTATATACTAAAACCAAGAAGTTCATACATTTGAAAACACTTAAAATTGAATTACGTTAGTTACGAGAAAAAGAATCATTCTGGTCTGAAGGGGTTAAAATAGATTGAGTAACTTAACTTAAGCTCGAGTGCCACGTTTATCTAAATTTAAAAAAATACTAAATCAGTATTTATTAAATATTTTTTAATTCTTCGCTGCACCTGTAATTATCAGTACTCGCGCACGTACTTCCACGCGTCGCGCGATATCGCGGTAACACGGGCGTGGGTACAGTCATCGGGAGGTGAACGCGGATCGATAAACTATCAGGAGTCACGTAGTCAGAAAATCCGAGTGCCAGGAGGTGGATCGAAATAAAAAGGCACGAGGTACGGTCGTTACGGAAATATCGTGGCTTCTTCCATGAGTGAACCGGGCCAGGTGGTCCCCCTCCCATAGAAGAGGAACGACACATGCGGATGCCGTACAAAAACACCACGTGGCGCTGGATAATAATAACGTTACGATACGCCGTTTTAGACGTTCGATGGGTCGGTCCCCCGAAACCCATTCGGCTCACTCTTTCTCCCCCTGTTTGCAGACCAACTATCTCCTCGTGCTCTCCTGGTCTAAGCGTCCCTTTCGAACGTTCGAAGGGCTGAAAACGTCGCGACGCGGTGGCTTGCATTATTCTAGTCTATGTATAAATTTACAAAGGTCTAATTAGAAGTTAAGCGTTTTTTTTTCATACATGTGCCTATAATTATGAAAGTCATATAATTTTTGAAAACAAAATATATCGAGTCGATTTAGTTTAAAATAATGTGGTGTAAAATAACTGATAAACTCGTTTCTTTTTTTAATTTTGACTTAGACTACTTTCATAATTATGGGCTTATTTTAGGCTGTTATTTTAGAGTATGTTGCTTTAGAAAGTAAGTAGCATAGATATATAAAATCAAAATGGATGTGTACCTTGAAACGAAAGAGTGAAGAAAAAGTGTATTATTAGGCACGAGACAAATTTGTATATTGTTAATAAGCAAACGTTAGTGTAATAGCTTTATTTAGTTACTTTAATAAAACAATGGATGAATGAATGACGCGGTGGGCCACCCTTGGCGCGCGAGCAGCAAGGGTGCTCGATTTAAGGGGACAGTGCAACCGTTCACCAATCGAGGGTAAAATTGTCTTACTTCGCGTAGCCTTCACGGGCAAACTGCTCGCGATTGAGTTCTCCATCGTCAACAGCTTCTAATCGGACTAGTAGCGATTAGGGACTCCAAAGGGTGGGTGTCTATCACAGAGGTTGACGGCTCGGAGTTCTTCTGAGGGGATTTCGACAATATTGTATTTATTATGGGTTTAATCTTGCACACGCTCATTTTGATTAAATAATTTGGTAAACATTTTGAAAAGATTTTTGAATTAGAATTAGGTTTCGGAGCAGGACAAGTTTGGGGAATTATTATTGCAAGGTATTAAAAATCGTGGTACCGAAAAGAATTAGTTACATTTATTGAATTTTTAAAAAGAAAATTGACATACATTCCTATTATCAATACCCATATTAATTGAATGTAAACATTTTGAATAGATTTATTGAATTTTTAAAAAGAAAATTGACATACATTCCTATTATCAATACCCATATTAGTTTAATGATTTCAAAGTATCTGAGTTTAATTTTATATATGGCAATTTATCTTAAATAATTTGGTAAACATTTCGAAAAGATTTTTGAATTAGAATTTGATTTTGGAACAGGCCACAGTTAAAGTTTGCAGAATAACTATCGCACGGTATTAAAAATCGTGGTACCGAAAAGAATTAGTTACATTTATTTCACTTTTGAAAAACAAAAATGACATACAATCCTAGTATCAATACCCATATTAATTGAATGATTTGTAAGTATATATCCTTGACTGAATCATCGTGTAGATTAAACGCATTCACTCCACACGTAAACATTCGCGAATTAGCAATACAAACTTGACAGAAACTTTTATCCATTCACCGATATTACAATTCCCGATAGCGGTCCGATAAATTCCGATAAGCCTACTTTCCGTTGATAACGTTTTCACGCAAAAATTCCCTCCCCCGCTCGCGCGGCGCAGTATCGTTTCCAGCAATTGTTAAATTGGAAACGAACAAAATTGCAACAAGATGAGTCAAACGAAACCCAATATTGCGCATGGGATATCCAATATTGGCGCCGTGTTAATTTAAATTTTTATCGAGCAATATTTCCGCCGGCCTCGTGTAACTGTTGTTGTTTGGAACGCGTTCGCCGACGATAATCTCGAGGGAATAACGATTCCAGTCGAATATGGCGGGAGAAGCCTTCTGGAATTTTCCGTGTATTTTTGATTCAGGTCCTGGGATTCAAAGATACGTACGTATGGATTAAGGACGACAGCTGCGGTCACAGGAAGCGAGGCGGGATTCGCGCGACCAAAGCACTCAATTCCAGCGTCAAGGTAATCGTCCCAAGTTCTCGAAAAAGTATTGTTATCTTGGAAGAATCGCTAAAATTTATGTTTGCACGAAACTACTCGAAGTGAAATTCTTTCTTAGAAAAATGATTCAAGAGTTTATATAATTAGGCTTCTTCAGTCCAAAAAGAAATTTGATTTCTGTTAGAAAAATAATTTGAATTCTTGTTAGAAAAATGATTCAAGTGTTTATATAATTAGGCTTCTTCAGTCCAAAAAGAAATTTGATTTCTGTTAGAAAAGTAATCTTAAATAATTCTTAAATGACTTGAATTCTTGTTAGAAAAATAATTCAAGTGTTCTGTTAGAAAAATAATTTGAATTCTTAACTAATTTGAATTCTTGTTAGAAAAATATTTCAAGTGTACAACAAATTTTATTTCAATGTTCATTCGAATCCAAGTCACACCACTGAAAAGCTCCAGCAAATGGTTCTCATATTTCCTTCGAAATGAAACCTGCTGAATTGAGTGTCCCGCGTAACCGATGGTTCATCACCAAGGAAAACACATGTATTCGAGATTCTTTTTGCCGCCGTTACTCCTAAAGAACAATGGATTTCCGATAGAACAGGGTCTCTATAAAATTCTATTGACACGATTCTTCTTCCTGGAAGATTATTTGGGCGGATCAGCAGCAGGTGATCGAGCGGCAGAAACGCGATCACGTGCCATTTGCGAGCTGGGAATCGGAGAAGCCTTTGATAAGAGACAAGAGACTCGAAGTGGATCGGTATCGCTCAAACTCCATAGAGGACAGCGAAGAATGGAACGAATTTTTGCCCGGCGATCCCGAAGACCCGAAATTGATGTTCAACGACGAACTCTGGGATCAAGAGTGGTACTTGGTAATAAATCAATACGTCTGAACTATACACCCACGATTCTGTCTTTTTTTATAATGATAACACCGATAGAAGAGAATCGATAGTCGGTAAAGTTGCATTTTGGAAAGTTGATGAAGTGTTCGATGGTGCCAACGCTTGATAAGATAATGTTTCTTTATCAACTGCTGCAGCAAGATACGCGATCGAACAAAGTTCTCCCCAAGCTCGACTTGAACGTTCTACCCCTCTACCGACTGGGAATAACTGGTCGTGGCGTTAGGATCGCAGTCTTGGACGATGGACTGGAGTACACGCACGACGATCTACGGAACAACTATGTGAGTATGGATAATTTTGCTTCGAGCTACCCTGTGCACTCCACAGATGACAGGGCGAGTTACTTAAAATTCAACCCCTTGGAATCGATGCAGTTTTTAAAACCTTCTAGGAGATTTTCTAATTTGAAAGCTTTATGATTAATAAATTCTTTTCTGATCAATAATAATCTTGCAATGTGTACACATTGTTATATTTATTGTAAGACCCTTTGCATTCTACAGGTTACTTAAAATTCAACCCCTTGAAATCGATGCAGTTTTTGAAACCTTCTAGGAGATTTTCTAATTTGAAAGCTTTATGGTTAATAAATTCTTTTCTGATCAATAATAATCTTGCCATGTACACATTTTTATATTTATTGTAAAACTTTCACAGGATCCATACATTAGCTACGATGTAAACGAGGGAGACAACGACCCCCTCCCAAGATACGAGGTAACAGGTGAGCATTTAATTATTATAAGATTTGCATAATAAGTATAAAGTCCCTTTGGACCCAACCTTATAACGTCATGCATCACTGTTCGACACTTCAATCAATTTCTATGATCAACAATGGAAACAAGGGTCGCTGAAAAATTTAAAAAAAAATTAATTCTGAAAGTTAAGTGTCCAGAAAATTTATTTAAATAAAATACTTGAACTTTGACAAAGTTGCAAAGCTAAATACCAAAATAAATGTTTCACTTTGCAATTTCCAATAGTCCGCAAAATTTGATCTCAGTAGAAATTTTCAAGGGCATGAATCTGCTAACGAACGTGTTAAATCAGTCTCGATACAAACTAGGTCACAAATGGTCCAGTCCATCTGCTGGCGTTAATACAACACAACTCCCAGAGCTCTTTTTCATCCCAGCCACCATTTAAATCTAAAATTTCTCAGCCAAACGCATTTCGCGAGTCTCAACGGGATCTACAATTCCTAAAATTCCCCTATCGCGGACGTTTTCAACATTAAAAAGCGCTAAAAAATTTACAACTGACCTCGCGTGAATGTTACACGATACGCGATCCTCTGGAACGGAAAATTCCTGGAGGCATCGCGAGTCGTGTTTACTTCTTCTCCGAGCCCCCGGTTCGATCATGCATTGCCCTTTTCACACGTTGCTACGACAACACCCCCAAGGGATGAACGGTCACGGGACGAGGTGCGCCGGGGAAATAGCGATGGAGGCAAACAACCGGAAATGCGGCGTGGGCGTCGCGTTCGAGGCCTCCGTTGGCGGGATCAAGCTCCTCGACGGCGTGGTGAACGATCGCGTCGAGGGCGAGGCGCTCGGATACAAACCCGAAGCGGTGGATATTTACACCGCCTCCTGGGGACCCGCGGACGACGGGAGAAGCTTGGAGGCACCCGGTAGACTGGCCACGGAAGCGATAGAAAGGGGCGTTAGGGTGGTTTGTATCTAGAAATCAATTTTTTGTTTGGATTTAAGTACTTGTTCATTTTTAAAATAATTTACGAAGTGTAGTTTTACAAAGTTTGATGTGAACAGTTCAAAAGAGAAGTCAGGAAGTCCAGAAGAACTGAGAACATTCATTTTGGATATTAAATGTTAAAGAAAATAAGGAAATTAATTTTTTGTTTGGATTTAAGTACTCGATCATTTTTAAAATAATTTACAAAGTGTAGTTTTACAAAGTTTGATGCGAACAGGCTAAAAGGAGAAGTCAGGAAGTCCAGAAGAACTAAAAATAATTCATTCTGGATATCACATGTCAAAGAGAATAAATTTGAATGATATCCTTGAAGTAACAAACATAGATAACACAATAAATAAAGTGAAATATTTGTTCCTTAGCAACAGAGACAAGTATTTCAAATAAGTCAAGATATTAATGAAATATAACATGTTAAATCAATTAAAATGTTTGTAACATTACGATGTTTGTGTGTAAATGTTTGATTTACAAGTGAAAAGAATAAATGTTTGATTATCCAGTCATAAATTGTCTGTAAACTAAATTTGACGTTAGTAGAAATTTTCGAATGTATTCTGATTTCGAGAAGAATCTATAGTATTACAAGAGAAAATAAACAAAAGGATTATTATATTTGTGCATGGAATTTTAGCGTCCATTGCTTCCATTATTTAGGGACGTGAAGGGAGGGGAAGCATTTACGTGTGGGCTTCCGGAAACGGTGGCTCCAAAGGGGACAATTGTGGATGCGATGGGTACGTAGGAAGCATTTACACGATCGCTGTGGGCTCGGCCAGCCAAACCGGAAGATTTCCATGGTACGGCGAAAGTTGTGCTGCAACCATGGCGACCACGTATAGCAGCGGTGCTTATCACGATCAGATGATAGTAAGTTACACTTTGAAAATACATTTATTATATTAATTAACTGAACCAACTGAATAAAAATTCTAGTGAGTTGAAGATAATTAAAATGACCCTCCAAAATACAGAGATCTCCATCGAGGAAAAATTAAACACAAATTCGACAGAGTAGAACAGATCCAGAAGGTAGAAATTACAATAACATTACGAAACTATATTTTATTCAAAATGAATACACTCTCCAACTGAATAAAAATTCTAGTATGTTAAAGATAATTAAAATAACCCTCCAAAATACAGAGATCTCCATCAAGGAAAAATTAAACACAAATTCGACCGAGTAGAACAGATCCAGAAGGTAGAAATTACAATAACATTACCAAACTATATTTTATTCAAACCGAATACACTCCCCAGGTGAATAAAAATTCTAGCAAGTTGAACAGACAGACTATTCCGAACAACCCTCGTTCCATAATCCATAGCACATTACGCAAAATGTCCAACGCCTAATGTAAATGCTATACCTCGGTAGTTATTCGCATAATACCTCGCAGCGTTGTCGAAACCGACGTGTACACAACCGAATAACACGTAAACACGAGAATTTGTGTAACGATCGGGAATAATTAAAGGTAAATTCTGTCCCGACTTCCGGATAACGAATTAAGCCGGAATGGAGTTAGCAGAGCAACGGAATAACTCAATGGATTCCGTTTCCGTGCTTTCAGGCGACCACAGACTTGAGGAACACCTGCACGACGCGACACACGGGCACTTCCGCATCCGCGCCATTAGCCGCGGGAATACTGGCGCTGGCGCTGCAAGTAAAGTACGAAACTCGACCGCCGTTAACTCGAGCCTCTTTCTCGAAACTTTTCCTCTCTAACTCAGCCTTTATCATACTTTCAACGGAGTTCATCCGTTTCGAAAGAAGAGTCATTAGATTTATCTGCCTCGCCAAAGAACCTGCCGCGATTAAGCTTCCAACGCCGAGTTTTCAAGCAGTTTCGAAGATTTCGAGAATTCTCGATCAGGGCGGCAACGGGCGGAAGTTGAAGCAGCTCCGAGCTAAATTGAAATTCTTTCAAGCTTCTGAATATTTCTACGCGGGAGATTCTGTAATCCCTTTTTCACTCGCGGAGGAACGTTGTTACCCGGAAATTCGAAATCCCGCGATGTAAAAGCATCGCGAATATATTCATTCCCGTGCCCGGGAAGAGGTCCCGTAAGACCCGATTAAAAAGTTATCGTCGCAACCCCGGCTCGCGAAAAAATTCTCGACGAACGGCCACGTTACACGCACTAGATTGCGAAACTTTGGATCGCGCGTCGATGTTGTTTTCAATCATTAACGAACGCGCTCTTCGTTCGCTCCGTCGGTACCTTTACGTACATTTCGGACGTGATGCAAGTGAACTGTCGGTGTTTATGCAAATTTATATTTCGATAGATATGGAAAAAGAAATTAAACTTGAATCTATGTACGTGAATTTGTTGTAAATGAATTTTTGCATTTGTACACATTCTTATAAATTTATTTGTATATTATATTATATTATAATTATATTTATATGCATTCACATATTTCTATAGATGCATAAACATCTGCAGTTTAGGTATCAGTCCTATTTTCTAAATGGTATAACATGTATCTTGATGTTTGATATATTCTTGCATTTGTGCACATTCTTATAAATTTATGTATATATTATTATATTATTATATTACATTATATTCTAATTATATTTAAGACATGCTTAAATTTCTGTAAATGCATAAACATCTACAGTTTAGACATGAATAACATTTTATTCTAGTGCATTCCTAAGAGAGGAACGATTGTCGCTCTTAGAAAATAAAATCGTACTCTGACTTTAAACTAATTTTGATGAAAAAGTGAAAATTTAAGAAAAATATAGTAGTAGTGGTTTCACATAAGGTGATGCCATTTGTAATATACTCCTCGGTCGAATTGATCACTGAGAATTAATTAATACATTCCACACGAGACCCCGTGTCGAGAGTACGAAGCAAATATTTTCCCGCGGTATCCACGCGGATGGAATAACCTGCTTGTTATTCTTACAGCGAGAATCTAACGTGGAGGGATGTGCAGCATCTCATTGTGTGGACCTCGGAGTACAGTCCCCTCAGGTGAGACTACGATTTCCATATCGTCTGATTAGCAAGTTTCATTCCAACGAAACGAAATTATTTTATGGCAAAGACAAGAATAACAATTATTCCATTTCTTTAACTGAAGTTGGTAGATGGAATGGATGAAGATTGGTAGTCTATTGTTATTTATTTTATGATGAAGACAGGAATAACAGTTATTGCTTTTCTCCAATTGAAATCGATAGATGGAATAGATAAAGGTTGATAGTCTAGGAATAACAAACATTTTGAATCTTAATTTAGTTTCACAATCTCTTCCTTATTCACGTGGGACAATTGCCACGTGATCGATTCAAAGAACGCGGTTTCGATAGATTTTCGCCGCAGGAAAACCTTTCACAGCGTTCATCTGAGCGCAGAGAAAGCTCTCTGGCGACGATGGGAAACGAGTCGATCGCGCATTCTCTTCTCGGGACATTGCGAATCACGGTGGATTAAAGTATCGCGTCATCCTTATTCACTACGCGGCAAATGGGAATGTAGGTCGCGTCGGTTCAACGGGAAACAGTAATTGAGGTGAAACGAACAGGAAGCAAGGATTCGTGCCTTCTCTGGTAAAAATAACACGTCGGTCGCCTTTTTCTTGATCGTCGCTGAGAGTCACAACGTGGCTGCGCCATTCAACCCTTTAGTTTTGCTCCGTCGCTGCTCCTTACCACTCGATTGTGTTGTCTGTTACCTCTCGTTGGGTACTTCTTTCGAAACATATTTCTCGTTTGCTCCGTTACTTCTTAATTAATAACGATATTAACGCGGTCGCTGTGGGGCTTATATTCACCCTTTGCGTTCCTATGTACTGCACAAAGCGTTAATAAAAATGCCTTCAAAGTAAAAATTTTGTTCAGAAATTGCTGTCACTCGACAAAAGAAAATATTGAAATCAGAAAAGCAAAGCGTTAATGAAAATCTCTTCGAGGTAAAAATTTTATGGGAAATGATTGAAACCCGACAGAAATGTGCCGAAATCAGACAATTTTTACTGCAAGGGGTTAATGAAAATTTCTTCAAGGTTCTCCGAGGGTTCTTTTGTTTTGAGACTATTGGAATCTGACAAAAATGTATTGAAATCAGAAAATTTGGACTGCACAGGGCTAATGATCTACACTTTCCACTTTTGCACTTTATCACTTTTCCACTTTCCACTTTCCGTTTTCCACTTTTAATTGTTCCAACCAATAGATATTAAAATATAGAAGAATATCCCATAAGCTGTGTAACGGGGTATATTTATTTTGTAACTACCCACCCATTTCATCGCCTCATAGCATTTTTCACCATATAATACATAATATTAAAAAATATATAATTGACATTATTCTAAAAATTCCTAGCCTTTTCAATCCACCAAGGATACTTTTGAACAACGAATAAATCCGTTATTTTATTTCGGTGGCAATCTGTGCCAAACTGTCCACCTTGATGGGTCCAGGGCCATTCGAAAGAGGAAATGCGATCGTTTGAAGGAGAAACGAAGTTAAATTAACCGGTCCACGCCGAAGCGGAATATAGGTTTCCTGGCTGCGTGTAAAAAAAAAGAAGATTACTCCGCAGTTCGTCGAAAACGGTTTCATTTTACGCCGGTCGTTCTTTCATTCGCGCCAGCAAGCCCCGTAATTGCGTCAACTTTCAGGGAGAATCCAGGCTGGTTCCGAAACTCTGCTGGATTTTGGTTCAACTCACGTTTCGGCTTCGGACTTATGAACGCGTACGCGCTGGTCGCCGCGGGTTCCAATTGGACCACCGTGCCGGACAAAACCATCTGCAAAGTGGACGTCGCCAGAATGTAAGTGAAATTGCATCCGAATTCCTCTTACCTTGCGCATATTCGCAGTAACGGGTACATTTTCCATAGAACATCGAAAAAATACACTAAGGTGGAAGATGTAGTTGAGAACGCGCTTCCGGGGCCCGCGCATTTTTAAAATGACCGAACAAAGTGTCGTATTTCGTCGTACTTCGTCGTATCTCGTCACTCAACCTCAACGTTCGGCTTCCTGAAGTTGGTAGATGGAATGGATAAAGGTTGATAGTTTCGAAATAGCAAACATTTTGAATTTAAATTTAGTTTCAGATAGAATAAATAAAGGTTGATCGTCTAGGAATAACAAACATTTTGAATTTACATTTAGTTTCAGATGAAATAGATAAAGGTTGATAGTCTAGGAATAACAAACATTTTGAATTTAAATTTAGTTTCAGATGAAATAGATAAAGGTTGATAGTCTAGGAATAACAAACATTTTGAATCGTAATTTAGTTTGAGATAGAATAAAGACAAAATATCTCGTCATTCGTATTCACTGCGTTAAGAGAGGTGTATTCAACAAAAGGTTTATAAGGAAACACTCCAAAACTTTCGATATGTTTTTTCAATATCCCAGAAATGGCTCTATTATGACCTCTGCAAAACAGAAGAAACACAGGTGACTGGTTGGCAGGTTTCTGACCACTGGGTACATTTGAGATCGAAAATCTAACAATTTTCTTGAACTAGATGTTTATAGCACAAAATGATTTTTTCAATATTTCAAAAAATAAGAAAATGGCGTAATTTCTGAGTAAACCTGAATCATATCGATCGGATTAATAGTTTCCGCAATAAGCTGTCGACCAGTGCTCCTGCTTAACAGTTTATTAAATTAAAAAAAAGGAACCATAACTATTACACAACTGTTCAAAACATTTTGAATAAAAAAGAGAAAAATCAGGTCAGGAAAATACCATGTAACGATTGTTTCGTTTCAAAGATTGGATTCGCTTTCCGTTATTGTCGAATGTGAATCGTTTATGCTGGACCACCATTCGCCCAGAGAATTCGCGTTCGTTAATCGATCATAGTTCACTTTATCCGAATTCGCCACATGCAAACACCGCACAGGTAGGATTTACCTCTCACGGTCCATTTGGATTACCACAGATAGAATCGTGATTCCCTACGGTGCTCTAAACGACGAATATTCGAACGGTTCGCAGTGATTCGTAACTAGACTGCGGATCTTTTGATGGAAAGCGGCGTGCAAAAAGTTCAAGAAAACACGAATTCAAATAACTCGTCTTTCTTGAACTTTTCAAGACGCGTTTTTCGACAGGAAGAGAGAGACGAGGACGATTTGCGCGGTTCGGCGCTAAGGACGCTTTAAATTTCTTGCAGCGAGAGCCCGGAGCGACCCTCCGATTGTCCTTGTTTCTTTAAAAAGCGCAGCAGAGCTCGGTGACTTTAGGTCGTTAAATTCAACATGCCGAAGAGAGCACTTCACCTATTCGTTACAGCACCGTCATGGAGGCAGTCGAAAAAAGTGGAACGACTCGAGGATTTTTCGTACGTTCCTCGCACGTTGGCGCCCTTTCAAAAAAAAAAAAATAGTAGTCTCTCCCATGACACGTTTTCTATTCAGAACTAAGTCCTCCGCATTAAAATCCTCGAATTAAAAAGAAATTGGACGAAACATAACTGTATTTAACTTTCTGTTCTTCACGTGTGTCTAAAATATAATTTAATTCGTGTTTCTGTGCTGCATCTAGATCTATAAAAATATAAATTTCCATTAGCACCCACAGTTTAATCATAACACTGTGACAGTGTTACAATTCACTGCACAAATGGATTACCTTCACCAGTCGCGTAGAAATTGTAACATCAATAACAATTATTTTTTGGCTACTCTTTCTCATTAATTTTATGTATTGTTAGATGAAAGCTACAACTGTATTTATGTATTCTACAATATTTATTTGAAAAATATATGATAAAGGGAATTTTACAAAAAGATTTGTGCAAAGGCCGGGCGACGAAATTCGACGAAATACAACGAGATACGACGAGATACGACGAGATATGACGAGATACGATGAAATACGACGAGATACGATGAAATACGACGAGATATTACGAGATACGACGAAATACGACGAGATATGACGAGATACGACGAGATACGACGAAATACGACACTTTGTTCGGCCATTCTAAAAATGTGCTGTCACATATTAACGAATTATTCTCGTTTTTATAAATAAATAATGCTCGGAGACCCATTCCAAGGAGAACATTTCCGAATCAATCGTCTCTGATCAAACGAAACAGTATCCAATTCAACCAGGGAGTAACGTTTAAAATCCTGGAATAGACTGTCGAAGCCAGAACAGGATGCGACGTCGACAGCTAATATTCCAGGAAGTTTCAAGCGGTTCTATCGACAAGAGACGCTGCCACGCGAATGTAACTCCCGATTAATATGTAATACATGCACGCGCGAGTTAAACGCGTCGTTTGATTTAGAATCGACAGGAGCCTGGCTTATGGAAACGCGAGGAGGGTGCGATTCGAAGTGGGCGACGAGTGCCGCTCAACGGGGAACGAGATAACGTTTTTGGAACACGTGGAGATCGAGGTCAGCCTCGAGTACAGTCTTCGCGGCGCTCTTCAGATGCATCTCGCTGCACCCTCAGGTATGCTCTTTTCATTTGCCCCGGCTTGACGGGCTTTGAAGTTGCTCGTTGCCCGTGAACGTATCGCGAAACGAAAGTCGAGAAGAAATATAACGCGGGGGTGTATTAAGAGCGAGCAGACAGCCCGGACGAAAAATGCGCTTGAAAGTAATTTAAACTGTGCTAAAGCATAACTCGCGCGCCCCTATCGACCGAATTCTTCCACGCCCTTGTACTAATTTACTCTTTAGTCTTTCCGAGTCTAAATTCTTGGGATATAATTGGCGTGACGGTCTTCAGATGTCTTGCAGTGTTTAAATATTAATCGTGAATGTACACTCTGCGTGACAGATAATTCCAGGCGTTGTTCTGGAGTTTAATTGAATAGTCTCTTTGGCGCCGAAGCTTCATTCTAAACGTCTAGTTGATGGCTTCTGTTGTATTTTATGTAGTTTTTTATTTTTATTAGTTTTATTTGCTTGTATACAGGGTGCTGAGACGATTCTAAACAATAATTTCCTTTGCGAGAATTTCGTATGGTACTTAGTTTTTGAATTGTTAAAGAAAAACCACCGACCAATCACAGCGCCTAAATAGCGCGCGCGCTCAGCGGCGAGAGCATAGGCTCGAGCCAGTATTGGCTGATTACTTGAGCGGTGTGATTGGTCGGTGGTTTTTCGTTAATAATTCAAAAACGAAGCACCATACGACATTTTTGCGAAGGAAATTGTTCTTCAGAATTTTCTCAGCTACCTTTTCTCCCATTTATGATTCTCATACTAATTCTGGGACACCCTGTAGAACTAAATGCTCGAAGTAATCGACACTTCTTCCCTTATATCTTCCCAATACATTCTTGAAAAGATGAATAATTAAGAAAACATGAAAAAATAAATTTCTAAAAAGGAATGTAAAATATTTGAGAGTGAAGAGTACCTAGTGAATGAAAAATAAAACCATAGAATAATAAAAAGGTCGAGTACATATCAAAATTGAACGGATTTGACATTCCTGATACGCCAGCACTTTAAAAATGCATTAGACTGCGCGTTAAAATATCAGTTTGTCAGTTACATATTTATCGCCGCTTGGTAGGGATTTTGTTGCGACGAATCGCGTCGCCAAGAGAGAATTTCTGGGAAAATATCTTGGTAGTAACATTTTTACAGTATACACAGATGCGAGTGAACCGCGTGTCATCCCTTGAAATCGATTTCACCTCGTGTCAAGCGTTCCGGAGCGGTAGAACAGTCGGAACTCGAGATTTACGATCTCGTAGCCGAACAATGTTGGAAGATGGATTCATCTGAAACTGAAATCTAAGAAAAGCAACGTTGAATGCAATGTCTCATAATTAGAGACGCCGAGGGAAAATGCTTTACATTCGCCTAGCAGTGAATGGGTTAACTGTCGAATGATTTAAAAATTCAGGTGCTAGGATTGTTAAGAATTATCCTTTCTTTTGTTGAACATTCCTTTGAATTTTATCTAATTATCTCGCTTATTAAATTTTATATTGATTCTAGTTCAAATTTTGTAGATTAAAAATTGTTCTCTACGAAGAACATTATGGTCATTTCATTCTTTTCAAATTAAATCGTGTCTCCAAATTAAATATCACTTTTTATTATCAAAATAATAACCTAGATTACATATCTGTATTAAATCTTGGTGCTCAAAGCAAAACGCTTTAAATTTGCTTGGCAACGGATGAGTTAACGCAGTGATCTTATCTACTCGTATTGTGTAATATATATTTCGTTTTATCCTCTGACACAGTTCGAGAAAGAGACATTAAGAAGAGTCTGTAAAAGCAAATCCTTAACGGAAGTTTAATTTCTTTCACCCTGACTCCCGAGTGCTCTTAACTCCACTCTTGACTTCCTCTTACCAATCGATTAGACGATTACTTCCCATTCGCAACCGGCTCTTCAGAAAGATAGGATTAAAGGAAAGCTGGACGCGTTACAAAAACGGAGGATTGCGAACGATTTCGCTTCAACAGCCCCAACCGGGATAATTCGTGGTCGCCGAGGAGGGATTAACTCGACCATTGTGTCGTGACGTTCGATTCCGAGCACGTTTCACGGACACCTGTTATATATTAATAGTCCATGTCCCGTGCGTTGGGTCATTGGGGCATATTCAAAAAACGTCCAGGCACGCTTCCGTTCACCAGAAACAGGAGCACGCGATTTCCTGACCTATTTGGCAGAAAAGAAAATTTCGCTTCCTCTTTCTGATGCGAGTAGAATAAAATTCGAGTGTTTGAAAAATCTGAAATTTATGAATGGTTCATTTGCCGTTTAAATTTTTCAGTATTTAAACTTTTGAAAGCACTACCGTCCAAAAATTGAATTCATCCTTTCATTTTTGTACACTTAATTCTTTTATTGAATAATTCTTGTTGTGAAAATTCTACTCTTTTATCTAAAAGAAACATTTTAAATATAGATTTCTGGAAGAACTACAAGAATTGAGTTTGATCATATCTCTGAATACAGTCTTGAATATTTATGAATATTTACAGAATGAAATTTTTCATAAGAAATATGTCTGCGCGTGTTCTATACTGGATTTTTAATAATGTCTCATTCTTTTAGTGGAAATACAGTCAGTCCCATAAATATTCGTACTTGTATGTCTATTGAAAAATGTCCAAATGAAATGTTTCGTTATAAATACGTACACGAATAAACATTTCACGTGTATATTTTTATAATGAAAAATTTATTTGGTGACATCAAACCTGTTATTTAATTGAGACGAATTCTTGCAATAGACACAGATGTTACGAATATTTATAGGACCGACTGTATGTCCCCTAAATTTTCTTTTACAACATGGAGTCACTTCAGAATTAATTTCAACATTTTAAACAAAATATCTCGCTCCTCCAAAGCACTGAACGAAGACCCTCACCTTCGAAGAACGTACACACTCTCCTTCTTGGGAGGAGATAACGTCGTTCTCGCGAAATAATGTAGAATCGATAAGGCCAATCAATCAATTTATTTTCAAGGGACAAGGGTGGAGATCCTGAAGCCGAGAAAATTGGACAGCTCGAGTGCCGGTTTCGCGAAGTGGAAATTTATGTCCGTCGCATCGTGGGGAGAAGATCCGCGCGGCGTCTGGATCCTAGACATCCGCGACGAGGTCGTTAATTTTCATTACTTAACCAACTGTTACGTTCTTGCGACAGATGTTTTCCGTTCGTTCGTCGGAAGGACGATTGACGAATCGTTTCCAATTTATTCAGTGTTGCTAAACGTGTCACGTATTCAACGTTTGATTGCATTTACTTGCGCCAGAACAGATCGGTCCAGCAGGGAATAGCGGCACAATGGGAACGTTTGCATTGATTCTACACGGGACGAGCGAAATGCCACGGTATCGTGAAAACGGGCCGAGAATATACAATCAGCGGTACAATCGACTTCGAAAAACTGTAAGTGCAAGGCTTATTTATTCTAATAATCCTATCGATCCGAAAAAAACCGAATCATAGGTGCAAGTTGGAAGTTTCATAGCACACACTGTATATGTTATCGATGCAGCCCA